TTTGTTGCTAGTTTATTGATCTGTCATCTGAATTCGATTTCGCATCAAGACGTATGGCAATACGAGTAATAGCTGATAGCGATGAAGAAGTGGAAGCAATTTTAATTTATGATAGGCAAGGTACCATTGGTGATTTTATTCGCGAGGTTCGCCATATTCTTAAAATATTACCTTATGAAAAAGTAAGTACAAATATACAAATTTAGTGATATTAATTTCGTTTATTTGTATCAAAAATTTAATTGCTGAAAGATGCGAAAAAACCTTTCCAAATATGTAAAAACTAAATTAGCTTATATTTGTTTTTAATGTAAATTTTTCACAAAACACATCCTAATTCCATTAATTATTTCTATCTATTAGTTTTATTACTTAATTCCATTAATTAATAGGTACTATTTATTTCTTAGACAAAAATCATTAGTGGTATTTTTTGCATTATTTAAATTTCTCTTTGACAATATTCTCATATTTTTGTCAAAAGATTAAAATTCTTAAAATTGACATTAAATTTTTTTTTTTCTTCTTCGACCTATTTATTTGAAGATATATGGTTATTTTATCAAACATGAAGATAATGGAAAAGATGAAAATGAATTAGCTCAAGAGATTGCTACTGATGCTATATCATTAGCAAAATGTATCAGCGAATTAAATCTTACATCAACATCTGTTATTCATGTTGATACTGCTGGCATTGTGCAACGTAAATTATCAAACAAAATAAATATTTTAAAATAATTCATAAATTTATATTTCTTTCATCAGTTCTGAGTACTTATGGGATTTGTTAGCAAAGTTTTCCTGGTTTTGCAGAGTTTACAAATTTTATTCGCTAACAACTACCTTACACAAAGTACTAATCTTACTGATAATACACTGATAATTTCGTACAGCTATCCTTACACAAAGTACTAATCTTACTGATAATACACTGATAATTTCGTACAGCTATCCTTACACAAAGTGCTAATCTTATTGATAATACACTGATAATTTCGTACAGCTATCCTTACACAAAGTGCTAATCTTATTGATAATACACTGATAATTTCGTACAGCTATAACCTACGAATATGGGATGAAACAGAGGGAAGATAGGTGAGAATAAAAGGAATTGAATATGAGTGAATTAAATGAGACAGATCGAACTGAAGAAACTTATTGATACTAAAGACGAATTTAAAACAATACATTTAATTCATTATTTAGTGGGTATTAGCTTACAGAAAAGCGCACGATTGCAAGACTAAAGAGCTGTCATTCTCGAAAAATCTTTACACTTTATATGGTAAGGAATGAGTTTTTAGAGTGACAATTAGACTGAAATACCTATACAATATTCCAACATTACAAGTAAATTTAATTTAGATTCAACAACAATCAAAAAAAAAAATTAAGTTTTACTATCAGACTGGAAGATCATAAGATTAAAACTGAGAACAATTTTCGAGATAATAAACGAAGAACGTATTCTTTGTTAACAAACTGTACGTACTCTTTGTTCTGGACAATGAGGTGGATAACTTAGCTATAATTAAAATTGTTGAATAAATGATTTCTTGCTGAAATATGAAATCGAAGCAGTTTTTTATTTGTCTAACGAATATTTCGACATGTTATAATTCGACTTTACTGATAATCATTAATTAAAATTACCAATTAATTAAAATTAATTAAAATTTATATTTTCTTTTTCATTTCCTTTAATTTACACCAAAAAAAAGTATTTAATTACGTTCGTTTTTATTCACTATGAATGTAATGAAAATCTATAAACATTTAGCTAATTCCAATTTCTAATTGTAATTATTTAATGTAATTTTTTTTTAAAAAAAAAGTGAGAACAGATTTCTCGCAATTTAATTTGAATATTTATTTTTTCATAATTTTCATTTTCTATTTTTATTATTTAAATTTTAGTGCTTTGCATCACTTTCTTCTAATTAAATATTCAAGCTAAATTAATACTAAAAAATTACAGTAATTGACTTTAGAGTTTGAAAACTGAAAAGGATAGAAGAAAATATATGAAATTAAATGAAGTGTATATATACATCCTCACGAAAAAAACAAAAAAAAACAAGATTAAAAAGTTTTTTAATTTTTCTTTTTCAACAAAAGCTTTCACTTTTTCAAGAAATTAGCAAATGTTGGAAATATGATATTTTAAATTTTAATAAGCTTTTCAAAATCAAAAAATAAAAGAAAAAAAATTAACTTCTTTTAGAAGCAGAAAAAGAAAAATTATGTCTCATATGTGACTATCAAAAAAAAAAGAAAGCTGTTGCCTCTGAATGAAGTAATTTCAAATGAAATATCAAAGGCACAAGTAAGTGATTAAATTTTTAATTATTTATTTCTTTTTTTATTATTATTATGTATATAAACAATTTTTATTCTTCAAATTTGCTGTTTTGCTGTTAAAAATTTTGTAAATTAATGTAAAAATCTAATATTTCATGAATTTAATAATTGATTTCTCTTCGTTTCCGAATGAAATCACTTCGTTTCATTTTGCTTTCATCAAGAGAATTCACTTAATTAAATTAGTTGACTCATCTTCTGGTACTGTCTTGGGCGATTAATCATAGTGGAAAATCGAACTATATTTGAATTTTTTTTATTTGTCATATAGTGAGACTAATTTTTGTACTAATTGGATTTAGAAAATTATTTTTTTTTTTTAATTATTTTTTTTAATGAACTAATTTTTTCACTTTTTAACGAATCATTTAGATATTTTGTCCAACATTACACAGTCATTAAGTGTCAAATAGTTTTTATAAAATAATAAACAGTAGTGGATAAATTTTTTAAAAATGAATAATGATAAGATAATGGCATTGATTGATTTTTACAATTAGTGCATTCCTAATTAAATTTCATTCCTAATTAAATTTTTTCCGTAACACTTACCATAGGATTAAAATATAAGTAAAAGAATTGAAAAAAATTTAAGAATACAAACACAGATCTAAAAAATTTCAATATTTAACTGTTTAATTATAGATTGCATTAAAATTAACATTAACTTATAGGTAACTTCAAAATTGGCATTTAATTGAAGGTAATAATAAAACTATATTTTTTAATTACAGTTAATATTACATGAATTTAAATTTTTTACTTAAGAATATTAATAATTTCATAGTAACAATTAAGACACTCATTAAGGTTATCAAACTTTGCATTTTTTTTTTCCTAAATTAATCTCTGTTATTTCTTATGAATTAAAGTTAATACATTTCAGCTTCACAGTGTTTTTTTTTATTTCTATTTTTTATTTTATTTACTTATTTTTTTTTGAGTGAGTATTTCTTAACATATGAAATTTTCGTTTTTTCTTGTTGAAATGTATTTGTTCGTTTAAAAAACAATAATTAAACAAATCTTATAAAAAATTCCATCAAAATGCTATTAATAATGTAATCACTAGAAATTATTTATGCCAATAAATGAAATAATTATTTAGAAATAGTGTACAGTGTTGCACTCTATATGTAATAAATTCCATACCTTTTTTTTAGCTTAAAATTTATTGAATTAAAAGTATTTCGTGAACATTTGGTCAACAAACGACAATGATTAATTAATTAATTAGTCATTTAATTAATTAAGTAAAATAATGATTCCATTTTTTAGCATAAATAAATTTATTAATCAATATTTTATTACATTTCATTTGTTTAATGTTTTTTGATTTGTCTTGCTGCTACCATTAATTAGCTTGTTCGGTTTCAATAAGCTAAATAAGATATTCATTTTATTTTGTTTATTTATAGATTATGTGATTGTTTTGAATCATTCATTTTTTTCTTCCAATCTTTTGTTTGTTTGTTTGTTTGTTTTCAGATTTAATTTAACATATCAATATTGTTACCATTTGATTATGTTTTTTATCTGCTTCATCAATTAATTGAATTTATTTTTTGTTCATTTTTTTAAGAAATATATTAAATGGTAATTATATTCATTTTTCTTGACATTGTCTTTCCTATTTTGATTATTTTGTTCGCATTATGTAAAATTCACAATGTAAGCATGAAATGGTATATAATTAATTTATTGGCTGCGTACTGTATTAGTAATATTGGACGTTACATTGATAAACAATTAGAAAAGTTATTACAATTTGATAATGTTATACATGAAATGTAAGTTTTTTTTTTTTTTTTTATACTTTAATTTTATAAAATTTAAAAATTTTATAAAATTAAGCGAAATCATCGGAAAACAATGACAAATTAATCAATTAATGGAAGGTTTAGACAAATGTTAATGTCAATGCCCAGCAATATATTATGTATGTAAATTTTAATTTATTAAATAATTTCATTAAAAAATCTATCTTTTATCTATCTTTTATAAACTCCAAATAAAATTTATAAATAACAATTTGAAAAATTAAGAAAAAATAGTATGTAAATTTTAATTTATTAAATAATTTCATTAAAAAATCTATCTTTTATAAATTCCAAATAAAATTTATAAATAACAATTTGAAAAATTAAGAAAAAATAATTTCAATAGAAAAAGTTTCACGTTTTTCAGCTTTCATTGGCTTGCAATATATTTGAGAGTGGCGTCATTTACGTTGATACGTTTAACATTATTCCTTTATATCTTTGAAATATACAGCATTTACACTCTTAAAATAAATATTATGGAAGTTTTTTATAAAAGGTTAATTGAACTTTCATTTTTATTTGTTACTATTTTTTTGTAATTGTAATTACAAGGTTAAATTAATAAAAAATATTCAACAAATTAAGGTTTTCACGGATAAATTTTTGAAAAATTACAGATAGTTAGTTTTTGAAATTAACTCAGCAAAAATAAATATAAATGTTTCATTTGTCAGTTTCTTTTTTTTTCCGTAATTTCAAATGTTTTTCAGAAAATTACGAACATTTGCGTTTATTTATTTATGTACACAAATAATTTCAATCCCTGTGATAATTTCACACTTTCTTAAATTATCAATTGTCAAATTTATTATGACAATATATTATGTGACAGTTGCCACTGTATATGTTAGCTCAATCGTAATAATAGGCTTTGTAAGTCATTACAGTTATTCTTTAATTAATTTTAATAATGTAAAAAAAAATTAAATAATAATTTGAACTTTTTCCTTTCCTCTTTCACTGAGTATTTACGAAAACGAAAAAATAAAATCTCGCAGAGTCCTTTGTTTTTTATAATATCAGAAAAGTACGAATTTTCTCAATAAATTCTGAAATACATAATTACAAATTAATTAGATACATTAATATCGATTAACTCATAATCTATTTTTTTTTTAAATATAAGTACATTTCCACTTTTCTTTCAATTGCAGGCAATTTATACCGTTTATGATCACAGATCATTCAGGAAAAATCAACGATTCAAGAAAGCTCTTACACCGCTCATTTTTTATTTCTTGCCGATTACACTTATTGATTTGCCAATTGGAGGTAAAATTATTAAAAATAAACTACTATTTATTGCGTTTTTTTTTTCTGAAATATCGAATAGTAAAAATATTAAACGAATAAGAAATTTGTAAAATACTTTTTTTTTAAAAAAAAAATTTAATATAAGGAAGTCTGAGCATAAATTACTGAATCAAATAAAAAAATCTATTAATAATAAAAAAAAATTTAATTACCATTTTTTTTCTCATAGCTAATTCGAAAACAACTAATCAATTTTATTCGAAAAGAAGCAACAAAAAAAAGAATAAAAAAATCGTTTCAAATAAATTTGTTAATGAAACAGATAAAAGAGTGATAAAAAATTGACTAAAATTCTTTTTTATTTAAATAATTTCTAGTTACTGCTATTGCATTACTCATTGGTATTAATCGGAATATAATAAAAGTTGCATGGAGAATTACTCTGATTGTTTTAATGGTATGATTTAATCATTTTACTCTTTTTATTCTTTTCTACTTATTAAATTAATTAAAAATATAAAAATATAATATTATCAAATAATTTCATTCATTTCATTAATTACAGATTCGTACACCGACCGTCGTTTTAATCACAATTTTCGTTTTACCACCATTTCGTAAAGCTTTTTTCGATTTATTGGGTATCAAACGTCGTCAGCAGATTACCGTAATACCGCTCCATAATAATTTCCTTAGCTCTCGATGAAATGATATCATATCATATCATATCATATCGTATGACATTTATCCCATATGCGTTAATTATCTAATTAGAAGTTTTATGTGATAAAATTATTTCCTTATTTTATTGAAATGTAACTTAGCTATTAAAATGTAAATTAAACTTGGCTATCTCAATATAAACATATCAATTTTCCTATCTATCGATTTTTTCTTGGCTATCGATTTCTCTTTGTGACCAATTTTCTTGGTTGTTAATTTTTCATCGTTTTCAATTTTTGTTGCGGAAAATTTTCAATTTGATTTTCATGGCCAACTTTTATTTCATTCTATTTTCTTGCTGATTCCGAATACATTTATGTACTAATTTTTTCTTTGATATTTCACTATCAGTTATATCGATTCCTTCTTGTTACAATAAAAAAAATTACCACAAAAATGAAATATGAAAAGTAAAGACTAAAAGACCAAAATATAGAAACTAAGAGAATAGTGAAAATTAAAAACTAAAAGAAATCGATTTTAACAAAAAATTTAAAATGCAATTACAATAGGAAAAATAACAAGCAGAAATTATAACAATAATAATAATAGCGCTAACAACAAAAGCAACGAAAACAATGAGCGAAATCTTTTCGCAAAAAAGCAAAAAATTTTAATAAAATTTTATTAATCAATTAATTAATACAACATTACCATTACTTAAGTTTCAATAATTTTTGAGAAATTAATGAATAAATTAGTGATTGCAAAAAATCTGCAAAATTTATAACAAATTTTAAGCAGAAGAATGTTGTTGCCTTTTTTACAAATTTATAAAAAAGATCAAAAAAAAAAAAAAAAAAGAATTATAAACAGTTTTCTTTCATTGAAAATTTAGTTATTAATATAATGTGGAAAAAAAGAAAATTCTCCTTGAAGCAAAAAATTTTTTGAACGAAAATAATAAATGGAATTTAAAAAGAAAATGATAGCAATTTTCTGCTTTTTTTCCTTTTTTGTATTATTTTTTGCCATTTAATGATTAGAATTTGAATGATTTAAATCTTTTTCCTTTTTAGAAATATTTTATGTATTTTGTTGCGCTTTGAAGTAGATTCCAAATGTTAGAAATGAATGATTGTAAATTAAAGTTTTTAATTTTTTTTTTTCTATGGAACATTTAATCCTGCGGATTTTTTCCACAAGAATTACTGTAATGATGGATTTAAAATATTTAAAGTATAATGCACCTTCATTTTTTTTCTTTTTCTTCCCTTTTTTTAAACTTTCGTTTATTCAGCATTTGTTTTACTATTAACCTTCAAATCTGTAACTCTTAATTAACATTTTAAAATTGTATTTTAAAAAGAAAAGAAAGAAGAAAAAAGCGCTAAATGTAATTAATTTGATGATTTCATGTGACCGATACTTTAGTAAATTATCAATTATGTAATTAATTTGATGATTTCATGTGACCGATACTTTAGTAAATTATCAATTTTGTGGAGATACCTTATAATAATAATAATAATACTACAATCAATAGTAGAAAACAATAATAGTAATAGTCAATAATAATAATAATATTATTACTACTATTGTTTATTTTGAACTTTTGGCCAGGAAAATCTTGAAATTATTTATTTGAATTGAGGTTTGTTTACTGAATAAGGTGGGTGTTTGCTCGCTTTCACGAAGTTATCAAATTGTTGAAAAAGGGAAATCAAATTTTCTTCGAGTGATTGGAATGTGAGCTGAGCAGCGCAAATGACGTCAATTGAAGAGGCAAAATTTTAACTTTGACATATTTTAACATGAAGTATCATAGTAAACAAATGAAAAAGATATAAATAATAAAGGAAATTCTATTACGTTTCATTTAAAATAAACTAAATAAATTGCAATCCATTATGTAGAATTCTATATTAATTTAATAAATAAATAATTACAACTATCAAATAAACTTCAAATAATTGAATAAATAAATAAACGAAGAAAATCTGAAAATAATTTTCATTTTTGATACTAAAAATTACAAAATTTTATTGGTGTAAAAATTCAGTGTAAAATAATAATAAGTAATTACAATAGAAATGCTAATAATAATGACAATAGATGATAATAATAATAGTAATTATAATAACAAATGATAGCTATAATGATTATACTAATTGATGATTTATGTCATGTAAATAAATTGTGAATTGTATTAAATAATCATGAGTTTTTATTTAGTAATGCTTATATTAACTAAATGATAATTAAGCGAATAATGATTAATCAAATAATATGATTAAACACAAAGTAATTATTTTAAAGTTATCTTTGTATTTAAAAAAAATTTTTTTATATGCTTTAAACTTCAAAACTATTTTATATAAAAAGGCATTTTGGAAAAAAAAAATGATAAAAATTATTTTCATGGCGTTATCAGATTTAATTTTCTTATGCAAATATAACACAGAAATTATCAAATTTTTAATTTTGTTTATCATTATGCAATTCAATTACTTTTGAACAAATTTTTTTTTTTTCCGATACAAATAAAAAGAGAAAAAAGTATTCAAAAAATAATTAATTTTATCGTCGACGTTTATTCTAACAAACAACACTAACAATGATAATACAATAACAAATAGATGATTTCTTGCTTAATAATATTGTTTCTATCTGATAAAGGTATGTGATAACTGATAACGTTGACTAGTAAGGAAGCAATTATAATGAATTTTTCGAATTGTACATTGATAGCATTGTTACGGATTGATAGATCATTACTCATTTCTTGATTGCTTTAACGTATGAAATGAAATATGTGACAATTGGGGGTGACATTCATCGCATAATTTGATACTCTCAGCATTTCTCAGTTTTCAAATCTTTGCATTGCAAAAAAAAAAAAAAAAATATTGCCCTTGCTTGACGATTTTTATTTTAAATAAAGCACAAATTATTAGCATCTGTTGACAGAAGGTGTTGACAAAACTCTTAAGTTATTTATAATTGATTGATTTAAAAGTTGAAACAAATTAAATTGTGAAAAATTTTCCTCATTTAATACATTTAGCATATCATCACTTCCATTTTGCAACAAAAATTCGATAAATTACAGTTAGAAAAAGTGATTTTCGATTAGGTTCACTAATTAATTATTAATTCATTTTGCTGAATTTTATTATTGGTAAACAAATAAACTTATTTCATTTTAACAATAAAAAAAAAGATATATTTACTGAATTTTATTATTGGTAAACAAATAAACTTATTTCATTTTAACAATAAAAAAAAGATATATTTGCTGATAATAATAATATTTGTTCTAAGAGTAATTTGTAAATGTTTGCAGAAATAATTGAGAAAATTAGTAGTAAAACTGAAATGTAATATTTGATCGCTTTATATATTTATAAATAATTCAGATTTTTTGGTCACAAATTTTCTTTTCCAACATTGTGTGAATTTGTTTAATCTATCATTTATTTGTTTATGGATTAAAATTATTTATTCTTAAAATTTCTCTTTCTTTTTGATTTGATTTACTTCAGCTTTTATTTGTGTATTTTTCTTTTCTTTTCTCATTTCTAATTTCGTTTAAATTTTTTTCCTCTTTTCTTTTTTCTTTTTTTCTTTCGCTGATGAAAAGAATATTTAATAACTAAACTCATTCATTTTTCAAAATTCAATCGAAGCAAAACACTCTGCTTAGGAGGATAAAAAAGATGGTGAGTTTATTTGTTTTAAAACTTTTTTTTTTTTTTTTAAAAAAAAAAGAAAGAGAAAAACAAAAGTGATAACAAAGGCAAGTATTAGATAACATTTTAAAGATTATTCCATGAAAAAAATAAATCATAAATTGTATATTTGTGAAATATAACATCGAATAAAAATGAATAACTTTCCGGAAAATTATTTTTTCTTATTTCTTTTCTTTAAATTTGAGCAAAATTTTAATTCCAAAAAACAGGAAAAAGAAAAGAAAATTTTAGGATGAATGGATGAAATTAACTTTCCTGAATAATACTACTTATTATTATTATTTGTATATAAAATCGAGAAAGTTCAAGCTTTTATTATTTCTTGATGTATTAGTAGAAAAAAAATAAAGTTTAAATTCTTATATTTTGAATTGTCATTAATTGTAATCAGAAATAAACTTAAATAATGCAAAAATTTCGTATTATATTTATTTTACGTATGCAGACATAAAAGATTTTGTAAAAATATTTCTAAAAAAATAAAGAAATCAATCGAAAAAAAGAACAATTTGATTTAATTTCTTGAATTTTTGATTTTTTTTTTCTTTTTCTTTTTTAAAAAAAGCAAAAAAAAAAAATTATGATTACAATTTTTTTTTTTCATCCATTTAAATTGACAAAATAATATTTGCATATTTTTTTTTTTTTGTTTCTGCTCTTATATATTTTTATATTATTTCTTTTTTTTATTTCCCTTCCATTTATTTATTTTAGAACTAAAATTTCATTTTCCTCTTTCTTACTTATAATAAAATTGAAATTGATTTTGTGAATTTTGAACTAATAAATGTAAAATATCAATTCTTGCTATTATGCCACTTCAATTTTCTCCTTCAAATAATTGTTGAGTTTTATTTTACAAAGTAAAATTAAAGTTTTTGCAGGAAATTTTTACTTGTAATAACTTTTACAATAAATTTAATTTAATATTTTAGATCAGTGATAGTCTTTTGCGTTGCATATTAAAATGTTTGCATTTCAGTGTAAGTTAAAATATGAATGAAATAGCAAAATAAATGAATGATTGATGTAAACTTATTCAAAAAAAAAAAAAAAAGAAAAAAAAAAAAGAAAATTTGTTTCTCTTTCCGGTTTTTATTCTCTGTGCATTACGTTAGTATCAGTTGTTTCAGTTTCAGTTTCATTTCCTTTTCAGTAATATTCCACCGACAACGACGTGTTCCTGAATTATATGCATGTATCTGTGTATGTGTGTGTGTGTGTGTGTGTGTGTGTGTGTGTGAGTGTATGTGTGTGTGTGAGTGTGTACATTTGTGTATGTATGTATGTGTGTATGCATACTTGAATATGTGTGTATGTGTATGTGTATATATTTTCCCGAGAGTATATTGACGGGAATTTATGCATCTGTTATGCGAAGTTTGAAGCTGTAAGCTTTTGCGCTTGCTTGTTCATCAACTCTTCCACACAACAAATGTTTGAAATTTAAACAAAAAAAAAAAAAAGTTTTTGTTTTTTGACCGAAGAAATTGAAAGATTGATAGAAAGAGATAAATAAATTCTTATTGTTGATTCATTGGTTATACTTTATGTTTATTGGATGATTATTATAACTAACTTTAAATCTTTCTGTGTTATTGTCCTTTCTATTTTGCTTAGTTTTAATTTTATTTTTCTTTCTTTTCTTATTTTTTTTGCTAAATTTTTACTTTAAAGAATAAAAGAAGAAGCAAAAATGAAATAAAATTATAATACGAAGGCTTAAAACTGTTAATTTTTAGCAATTATACATTAAAAATTTTTTTAAAAGAGCAAAATCATAGGTAGAAGTGGGTTTGATTATAAATAGAACTATCAGAATTATAGCTACATACGATATTCTAATGATAATCATGATTATAACATGATATGTTTATAATTCTGATTATCAAAGATATGAATGATGGTAATCAATGATAACACTAATTATCAATGATAACTGTGATATGCTTATAATCATGAGTACACAAGATATTTTTGTCACCTTATTTATACACAAATATGCCTATCTAAGTTATTAATGATTCTAATTAATTGTAATCATAATAATAACATGATATTCCTGTAATCATGATTACATCTTTATTTTTAATCATTATTTGTGCAATCATAATCTTATGAAGATATGCTTGTAATTTCGATTATACCAAGATATTCATGTAATTTTGTTTATGCTAAAATGAGTTTGTAATCTTGATTATATAAGGATATCTCGACAGCAATCTCGATTATGCTTGTATTCTTAATTATACTAAATTATGCATATATTTGCTTGAAATAATCATTCAAAATTAATCATATCAGTACAGTTATATTAGTTAGAAATTGAAAAATGATAACACTATCTGTTCCATTTTATTGCTATTTAAATTCCAAATATCATCAAATTATTGAATTATATTAATATTTAATATTGGACATTGTTTTGTTATTACTGCTATAATTATTATTATTATTATTATCAATTTTTATTAATAATTACTTTATTACTTATTATTTATTACTGTGAAAATTTCATAAGAAATTATTCATTTTCTTTCCATTCACAATCAATCACACATGTATTGCTTGAAAATTTTAAAAATGAATAGAAAATGCTATCACTGATCTTTTTATTTTTTTAAAATTCTTTTTAATTTCACCTTATGTCTATTTAAATAATTACAAATAAGTAATTCCATCTGTTTTCTATCGTAATCACATTTCAATTTATTTTAGTTTTTTAATTTATCCAATATTTGAATATGCACACGCATTCATTTCTTTCATGCCTAACTGGCTCATTTTAGAATTTTAAGAATTTTTCCATTCATTATTACGGGAAAATATTTTATTTCAGTGAATAGAAATAATAATAATAATAATAATAATAATATATTAATGCATTATTAATTAGATTATTTGCAGTAAATATTTAATTAAAAATTTAAATGATTAGTTTAAGCTCATTTCTTTTTCTTGTTGGAACAATTTTTTGTTTTTTTTTTTTTTTTAAATATAATTTTTGATTAAACAATTGCACAGTTATGGCTGTTAAAATTTCATTTATCCAATTTAATTGCATAAAACACTAAGTTTTGCTCCATGAATTGTTAATTTAAATTACACATGGATTAAAATCAGTAGCATACTCTGATGTGTTATTAGTTAAGTTTATTTGTGAAAATTATTAATACAAAAATTCAAGTAGTAGTTTAATTTGATTTTTAATTAAAGCAATTTTAATCGGCCAATCAACAAGATTAAAATTACGAGGAATTTCATTTGCTTAACTAATCTTTTAAAGCACAAAATTTGTGATTGTTGAAAATTTTGAATTTTTTTTTCCAAACCATATTTTCATTTTTCAAAAACTATTTAATGTAATTATTGAAATTTTTATGCAAAGGAAAAAAGACAAAAGAAGATCACAACGTGCTTTCATTTTAAGCCATCATTAATTAAAACAAAATGTACTACCAAAATTTGTATTAAATTTTAAATTTCAATTCTAAAAAAAAAAAAAAAAAAGCTGCCTCTGTTAAAATTTAGCAAATTATTTGATGGAATTTAGAAGGCGAAAAAAGAAATTAAGGGCTAAAATAATTGAGAACCAATAGCACCAAAAACTAATCATTCATGCGTAAAAGCATTTTTGCCTTTTTTTTTTTTTTTTTTTTTGTTATTTTAATATTATCGTTGCTAGGAGGGATTTTTTCCTTTTTTTTTGGGGTTGAAAAAAGCTGTGAAAGCTTAGTAATCATTGCTAAATGATATAAAATAGTTATAGAAATATTGATTTTAATATATTTCTTGAAATTGAAAAGTTAAATTTAATTTATACAATTGAAATTTAATTTTAAAATAGAATGAAAAAAATATGAGAAAGAAAGAGGAAATTAATTTGAAATATTTCAAATAAATGTTTAAATTTTTATAACTAAATTAAAATAAATTATTTAAATTGAAAAAATATATAATTTTACTCATTCGATAAACAGAATTATTATTGTAGAAAAAGAAAAATTCATAGACGTAGTATTTAATTTATGATATGTAAATTTCATTTCTGATTTAGTAATCATTCGTATTTGCGATCATTTTCTAAATAATTTTACAGCTTATAAAACTCATTTCATATTATATGGTTAACTATTAGTATTAAATTATAAATTTTACTTGAAGGCAAATAAAAGTTGAAATTCTATTCTTATGTTTTTAATTTTAATAAATGTTTTTTTTTTTACTCTATTTTTTAACTTTTTTAAACATTTTTATGATTAAAAATTTCTTGTGAATTAGAATTTTTACTTAGTAAAATTTCTAATTTTTTTAAAAAATTTTCTTCATCAATATTATCTTTTTTCCTATTAACAATTTCTAATTACAATTAGATCAAAGAATTACTCTTTTTTTTTTATACTTACATTTTTTGACGTATTCTAAAAAGTGCACACACGTACGTAGCTGTGAAAATGAGATGATAATTGAGAAAATAGATAGTAAACAAGAAAAGGCGGAAAATGAGGTGGGAAAAAATTAAATAAATATTTTTGAAATGGATAGTAGTGGATGGAAGTACGAAGAGATAAATAAGATTAGGTTTTGCTGTTAATAAAATTTCAGATAGTTTTTTTTTTGGATGAAGCGAAAATTGTTATCTTCCACATTTTCTTCTTTCTAATTTTTTTTTTTTTTGGGGTAAATACTTTGGAGTAAATTTTGGAGTAAATTTTTTTTTGAAGTTAAACTTAAAAATAAATAAATATTCAATGCTTACATACAAATATAATACATAAATAAAAATTTAATTACTTTTTCAACTTTTTCAATTTTTCGCCCTTTTTAAAAGAAAAAAAGTTTTTCCTTTTGATTACTATTGTTTATAGATATAACATTTAAATATTTTCGATATTTTTAGCACTTTTTTTTTGTGTTTGGGAAACTGATAATTAGAATGAAAAAACTTAAATCTTGAATTATTTGAAATAATTATTTTCGTTTCATTTTTTTTCCATCCGATTTTTTTCTTATTTATGGGAAAAAATTTTTAACAATAATTTCTTTCTTTTTTCGCAAATCAAATATATGAATAATAATTAAATCAAATACAAATTGATTTATTTCACTTTCACTCAATCTTTTGCTTTGTTTTTCAGTTAACTTTATTTATAAAAATGAAATTTTTCATTTATTTTAGCAATATGTGTTTTATTGATTGATTGATTGTATTTAATATTATGGAAATTCGTTCGTGAATGATTTTATAAATTATTTAAATAATTTTATCGTTGCTTTTTTTCTTCTTCATTTTCAGTTATTGGATTTATTCTTCAAGCAAAAAAAAAAAAAAAAAAAAAAGAAAAAAGAAAGGAAACGAAACGAAACAATTGTTCTTCTATTGTTCTTCTGCAAAACAAAAACAAAAAAAAATTTTTAATTCATTTCATTTTTTTTTTTTTTAAATCAGCAATGCTCCATGAATTCAATTCATGGATTTTTGCGCCGAATTTTATCAAATCGACTGAATCTAAATCGCGATGACTTCTCATTTGAACTACTTCGTAGCTCTTCAGCTCAAGAGCTAAAAACTTGCGATAATCCTAGGCAACAATTAATGTGGCCAAGAACAACAAGTAACTATGAACATTTTCATATTAATACAACAAATTTGGTTAGTATTTTTGCAAGAAAATAATTTCATTTGTTTTCCTTTTTTTTTTTTTTTTTTTCATTTTTTAATTTCATGATGACATTAATTGTAAATATGTATAAATTTAATTAGCATTAATTATTATTTTACTCCCAAATTTATTTTCTAATTATTGGTTAATTATGTTTCATTCATTATGCAAATAAATTAATTCACTAATTCGATTTTTAATTAATTATTACTCTTTTTCTTTCATTCATTTATTCTTATTTAAAACTTTTTTTTTTTTTTTGTTTATTAATGATTATTGTGTTATTGTTATTATCAAATATTTTCGTTAGTTATTATTATTGTTATTGTAATCGTTATTCATATAGCATATTTATAAACTAACATCATTCAATCAGTTAAATTTATTCATTTTAAAATTTTATTTTCTTCTTCTCATTAATTTTTATTTTTACTTCTTTACAATATAACACTAATGATAAGTTGTTTGAAAACGATACATTTAAAATTTTTCCTTTTTTTTAAAAAAAAGAAAAAATGTTAAAAATAATTTTAAAAGAATAATCAATAATTAATATTATAATTCTAAAAAAAGACTGGAAAAGAAGAATAGTTTTCATATAAACTTTCAAAAAAAAAAAAAAAAAAAAAATTAAAAAGAGAAGAACAGAGAGCAATTAGTCATTTCTCTTTTATCATTTCAGCAAATTGTCGTATACTCTTTATGTACTTCAATTATCTGTTAATAATCATTGGTTACTTTTATCTACTATAAGTAAGTAAGTAAGTAAGTAAGTAAGTAATTACATTTCCGATAAATACGTATATATTATTGAAATTTATTTATTTTCTTAATAAAAATATATTTCAAATACATATATTTCAAAAAAAAAAAAGGAAAATGAATAAAAATAGTTTTGATATATTCATTTAAATTTTCTTTTATTTAGAAAAGTAAATTTATTTAGGTAAACATTTCGTGTAAATTAATTCAAATAACTCATTCAAATAAGATTTTTATTTATGAAATTGTATTGAAAAATGATAAAATAGGAAAGAAATGATAGATATATTTAGAATTTTTAAAAAGAAAATAGAAAAAAAAGGTGAAGTGATAAAGATGAAAGAGGCAAGAAAACAAATTGGATATATTTGAAGAGAGAGAGAGAGAGAGAGAGAGGGAGGGAGAGAGAGAGAAAGAGGGAAGAGAAAATTTTATATTAACTGAAAATGGAAACGAAGAATTGATGATTTGTTTGTATTTGTGCATTTTGCCGTGAAGTGAATTGGTGAAATATTTCCATGCTTAATTGTAGAAATTGAAATTAAATTTTTATTTTTTTCTTCTCCAAATATTTTAGTAAATTAAAAATTGCGATTTATTTTTATGTTAAATTTTAATTGATTATATTTTTATGCTATTTGAAACTAACGATGAGTGATTGAGAGTGAAATAATTTTTCAGTTTTAAAATAATAAATTATTTAATTGACATAATTGATGTTTATTTTTAATAAAATTAACAATGTGATAAATTTTTTTTTTTTTTTTTGAGAAGATTCAAAATTAATTAATTTTTACATTTATAAATGAAATATTTGTAGAAATCGTTTATAAATCAGCAATATAATTGATAGCTAATTATTGCTAAATTGTGCTCTCATTTTTTTTTTAAATATTAATTCTTACATTTTATTACAAATTTTTCTTTTTATGTAAAAATCTCTGCACCACTTAAATTCTCATTTCACATAAAAAAAGAAAAAAAAATCAAACTTTACAGAATTAAATACGATTAATTTTAATTTCGAAACAAAAAAAAAAAAGAGAATAAAACAAATTTCATAAGTATTCGATTAGAAGTAAATAAATCAAATAATAACCAATAAATTTCTGATTTTTAAAAGTTTTACAAAAAACGAAGAACATTTGTCTCCAAATTATAAAGCATTTGTATTATTTTGTTTTCAAGATTTAATATACTTTGTCTTTTTGTCATCTTTTTTTTTTCACTTTGTCACCCTTTTTTTCTTGATTTTGCTTCCTGTTTACCCAGTATTTGCCCACCACTTTTTTTTTTGGTTTCAATTTTCTCGTTTTCTTTTTTTTTTTTTTTTTTTTAAATTTTTTTATTAAAATATATTGCATTAAGGAAAAACGTTCAACGATGAATGAAAAAAAGATATCACTTCAGGTTAGTTTTTTTCTTTTCATTCATTAATTCGATTCCAGAATAATTATTAACTCTAATTAAAATTATAATTGCAAAAATTTTTTTCTCTTTTTTATTTGTGTCATTAATTTGCTATTGATTAGTAATAAACATTACTGTTATACAATCAATTGCTTTTAGATGCGATAACAAAGGAATAAATTTCAATCATTATTTAAGCACCGAAATTTTATTTCAAATGAAAAAAAAAAAAAACAAACAAATGCAAATTTATTTATCTTTTGTGATCATAGGATGCTAATAATTAAAACAAAAAAGGTGGAAGTATGAATATATATTATTAAATAAATTTGGAGTTTTTTTTTTTTGGGCAAAAAAGCAGTAATCGAAAGAATTTTGTGCTAATTTGATGACATAATGAATATTTCATCAATGTTAATAAATATTCGATTTGATAAGGATAAAATTTAATGAGAAATAATAGGAAATGAAAATAGAAATGAATTTCACACAAATTTTACACATAACAAATAAATTTTTATTTTGATAAGCTGATAGAGTGAAAATTTTGAATTTGAAAATTTCAAATATTGAAAAAATTTGAAATTTGAAAATTTATTAAAGCGCTTTTAGCCCTGTATCTATAAGATAGATCGAAGGTAATCCTTTGTTTGCCATCGAACAATGAACAAATTTCTAACATATATTTAGTATTTCAAAAAGTTTTATTTATTTTTACCCATTTTTGGTATAGCATTTATTAAAATACTTTTTTATAGTCAAATTTAAATTGTTGTTTTAGATTTAATAAAATAGAAAATTCATTTTTAAGTTGAAAAAATTGAAAAGATTGATATTTCATTGACGAAATAGAATTTAAAATTTACAACAAAAAAAGAGAAAAAAAAATTTGGTCATTTGTATCAATTCATAAACTAATTACTGTGAAAACAAAATGATTATAATTTCAGTTTTAAACAGCTTTTTTTTTTTCGAATATTTTATTTAATATTTATATGGAGTTTGTTTATTTAATAAAAATAAGCTGTAAACAAATTTTCTAGCAAAAAAAATCTTTGAAATTAAGAAATACTTCAAATTATATTAAAATTTGAATAAATGCAAATTTATTTTCATTTCTTTCTTCTGCGAAAATTTCGATAAAATTTTATTTTTGTTTTTTAAAGTCAATCTTTTATTATTATTTTGCTTCTTAAAGTTTTCTATGTTTAATCAAAAATTTCGCATGAGAAAAAAAATATAAAATATTGAAAATTTCAAGCTTACAATCTTCATTTTATGCTTTGCCAAAAAGGGATGTATTGTGATCAAGTTTTGACTGGAAATTTATTTCCGGAAAACTTTTCTGATTTAATTTTTTCTGCTTTTTTCTTATGCTTCTATATTAATTTTGCTACTATTGTTGTAAGTAAAGTTTTCTTTAAAAATCAATTTTTATTGATTTTTAAAATTTCAAAAAATTAATGTTTCCGATAACAGATAGCTTAAATATTTGCCGCATAAATGATAATGCTAATAAGATACAAATGTATATAACAATTATAATAGTAGTAATGGTACCATTATAATTTAGAAATACAATTTTTCCCATATAAAATTATTTAGATTTTTTATTTCCTTAATTAGTATTTCGTATTTTTTTTAAAAATAACTTTGTTTTGAATATTTATTATTTTTTTTTTTGAATGTCTATTTAAAAGATAAGTTATTGCTGTTATGGAAACGCATCGGATAATTAGAATAAAATTTCCGCAATGCTTGATTACATTTTAAACAAATGAATAATCACTTATTTCTCATATTTGCCAAATAATTAAAATAATATTTCCAGTATTTCTATTATTTCATTTCTTTTCTATCATACGGTGGAAATTTTATTTCAATGAAATTTTTTGTATTCAATCAGATTTAACAAAAATAAATTGAGAATTTAATATTTTCTAGTTTAATTTATTAATTCGGTTGCAATTTTAAGATAGAATTCACTTGTTTTTTTTTTTTTTTTTTTTTTTTTAAATTATCATATTGAAAACTATGAACTCAAAAAATAATTAACCCTCAATTTTCCATTTTAAACTATCCTTCAACAGTTTTCAAAATCTATTATTTTTTTAATTGCGAGTGAAATTTTTAATTAAAGAAAGGTTAATATAGGAAAATATAAATGATAATAAAGGTAATTGTGATAACTTTGGCTAATATATTTGTAAATGCTAACTGTAAATTTAGATCTAATTAATAATGAAATAATGATTAAATTTTATGAAATTTTTTTGCAATAGTAAATTATTTAAATTTTGCAAAAATTTTTAAATTTCTAAATTTTAAAATTTTTGTTAACTTAAATATATGTACAAGGATTATAGGATGGTGATGAAATAATTGAAATACTCGGTGAAAATGGTGAAACAATACGAAACGATGAAACGGCACTTCTTGGATTTACTGAATATACGTCGGATGAGTGCAACAGGTTATTATTTAATTGAAGTTTTATTTTTTATAAATCTTTAAAAATCTTTTTTTTAAAAAAAAATATTTTATAAATCTCTAATTGTTAGAAGTTATATAAATTAGAATAAATTAATTGGTGGTTTTTTCTTTTCTATAAAAGTATAACTTAAATATAGTAGAATAATTAGCAATTATTTTTAGTGAAAATTTTAAATTACAGAAGTTAAATTATATAAAATTGATTTTTTTATATCATATAAAATTCATTTTACTCTACAATTTCTACACTTCTTTATTTACTTTTAAAGAAAATTCGATGTAAAATTTTTTCACTGATATCATTTTTTTTTTCTTTTTTTTTTATTATAACTTATCATTTCAAATAATTACTATTTTCTTAATTGCTTGCACTAAACAGAATATATGTTATATTTCGAAGCAAAAAAAAAGAATTTTAAACAAAAATTAAAAATTAAATTTTTTCTTTTCTTTGCTCATTCCATTTTCAATATTAATATTATGAGAGTGATCAGGAAAGAGAGGAAAAATGATAATTTAGAAAAGGAAAATAAAAAAAAAAAATCATTCTACCAAATATCAGTAAAATAAATCGATTGAGACTATTAGTAGCATTCTTGCACTTTTGTCCAAAAAAAAAAAAAGAAAATGGGAAAGTTAAATTTTTAAAATTTTGATTTAATATTAAAAGAAAGAGGAAACACATTTCTGAACAATGAATTTCTGTATAATAGCACAATCAATACATAAACTGAAAAGAATAAATTTTTAACAAAATTAATTTCTTCTCTTTTTTTCTTTTTTTTTTCTTTTTTGTTTTCTTCTATCAATAATTTTGAAAATAATTAAAAAGGTAAAAATGATTAGGAAAAGAAAATAGAAATTAATAAAGCATTTGTTTAATTTAAAAAATTTTCAATTTTTAAAAATATTATCGTTTAAATAAATTTTATTCATTTTCTAATTTAGTAATAAATAAATGAATGTTCATTTTGATAATTACATAAATTTCATGACTTCAATGATCCATTTCGAAAATAATTATGTCACATTATTTATGACTTTGCAAACTTACTTAAAAATTTAATTAAAACTTTATTCTTTTCATTTATTATTTGAAATATAAACATTTTAATATTTGTTACAATAAATAAATTTGGTGCAATTTTGTAAATTATCTTACAATTTCAAAATATTTTATTTCATTTCATTCATATATATTATTTGCTTCAAATTAATAAAAGTTTGTGCCTACCTTTCATTTTTCATTTTTCATTTTCATATTTCAATATTTAATAATAATGTATTGCTTATAGAGCATTCATAATTTTTTAAAAGTGCAATATCGTTTTTTTTTTTTTTCGTTAGAAAAGATGATAAATTCAATGAAAAAGTTATTTTTAACATAGGAAATATTTTGAAACTTAAAAAAAAAGTCATTGCATCAATTATTTTTATTTTTTTTTTTCTTTTAATTTCGGAACTTTGAAAAAAGAAAAACCATCATTATATCAATCATTTTTAGTTTTTTTATTTTAATTCTGCAATACTAATTCAAAGTGCTCAAAAAAATCAACATTATATCAATTATTTTTAATTTTTTCATTCTTATTTTGAAAAAAAAAAATCATCATTATATCAAATCATTTTTCAGTTTTTTTGTTCTAATTTTGGAAATTTGATTCTGATACTCAAAAAAAAAAAAATCAATTTTATATCAATTATTCTCAGTTTTTTAAATTCTAATTTTGGAACTTCAAAAAAGCATTTAGTTTCCATTTACTTTTTTAATTATATTCTTTTCTTTTTATTTTCCACTTACTCTGTAATATCATTAAGAGATGGAAAAAAAGAACACAAAAGAAAAAAAAAATAAAAGTGAAAGTAATTATTAAAATTAATAATTTCTTTATGTTCAAAAAACTTTTCGCTCAATTAAAAAATAAAAGTGAAAGTATTAAAATTAATAAAAAAAAAAAAATTCTTTTCGCGTTTGTTAAAATGGAAAAAAAAAATTAGAATTATGTTCAAAATTTTCATAATTTAACATTTCTAACTGCAATTTTGATTTAAATTTAATTATGTAATGTAATAATTAGACAAAGTGATTAAATGATAAAATTTTAAAAATACTAAAATTTAATTAACATTTAAAAAAAAAACAAACACTGTTTTCTAATTAATAATATACCAGAATCATTATTCTATTCTAATTAATAATAAATTAATTACAGAATTGATCCATCAATAGCAGAAACATCATTGAATCGAGCAATTGCTGATTGCAACACAATTCGTTGTAATCCATTTTTTTCCGAAGGAATTTTATTGAAATGCATTGATTCTAAACGTAAGCAATTCGAAAATAATAATTTGTTCAATTATTTTTAATATAATTTATTATAGTATCCTAAAAATTTATAATAATTTATCAAATTTCAATTTATTTTAATTTATTAATTTTCTTCTTTTTTATTCTAGCATTATATCTTTACTTACATTATGCATTATTCAAAAATCCTGATCATGAAATGCGGATTGCACAGATTGATCAAGCAATTCATAAATTAAATGATCGACCAAAATCACAATTTGGTATGAATGTCATTTTATTTTTCTTTTTAAATTTTTTTTTTACAATAATTTTAACAAAATTTTACAACTTATATATATTTTTTCCTCCTTTTTTCGTTTTTTTTTTCCCCCCCTGGAAAAATTTTGATCTGAAAATTTTTCATAAATGGTGCATGGAACGGAAAGATTAAGAAAATATCAAATATCAAAAAAGAAAAAATTAATTTTTTTTTTCTATTTTTACGCAAATTTATTTTTTATTTCATTTATTTAATTGCATTTAGAAAGAGAAAAATTTTTTTAATTAACTTTAAATTTTAAATTTCTTTGATTAAACTATAAACAAACTATAATTTTAGGTGCATACGATGAAATTTATGCAATTCAAAAAACTTCATCAATTTCTGATTACAAATTACCAACACATCGACATGCTGGTTATATTATTGTATTATTTAAACTTCTTGATGGACAAACTAAGGTTTTTGAATTATTACATTGCTTCTACAAATTTGTAGATTTTTTCTTTGGAATGAAACAATTTTTTTTTTTTACGATTCAAAATTCGCATTTTAAAATTTTTCATTAAATTGTGAAAATTTTAGGAGAAAAATAATTTGTGGAGTGATTTTGATATGAAATATTTTTGAATGAAACAAAATGAATAAATTGTAGGAATGAAATTTTTTTTAAATAACAAATAGTAAATTTTATACCATAAAATTTAAAAGTAACAAGTTAGTTATTATTGATGGAATACTTTTATGGTAAATATTTTATTCATTTGAATGAAAATGAATTCGTCTAAACGAAAACATTCAAATAACACACTAATATCGATGAAAAAATTTCGTACCAATTTTTTTAGGCAATTTTTTTTCTTTTGTGTATTTTAAATAAAAATTTAAATAAATAAAAATGTAATTTAAATAAAAATGAATTACTCATACAGTTGTGCTAATATTAATGTTATTAATTATTAACAAAGTCATTTTAAAATGTTATATAATTTATTTTCCAAATGATATAAAAATTATCGATAAACTTTGTCCATTTTACTACCTCTCTTATCATCCATTAAAGATATAATAGTTTCCATTAACAATAATGATAATAATCATAATGATAACTTTTTCTTCATTTTATAATTTAACTTAATAATTTTAATTAACATATAAGAATTCTTTTTTAGCATAAAAATCTTGAAAAGTCATGGTTAAATTGGTCAGGTGCAAGAGAAATTTACAAATATTCACCAAGAAATTGGAATTTGCGACGAATTGTATTACATAAATTACCAGTAGCAAAGTAATAATTACTAATTTTTAATTTTACATTTGTTAAAATTAATTTGTTTCAATCTAATTAAATGGAATAAGTTTAGAAAAAGAAAACGTTTAAAATATGAAATTTGTTAGTTTCTTTTTTTAACTGATAAATAAGAATTTCAATTCTTTATGTTTATTGTTTTTTTTTTTTTTTTTTTTTTTTAGAAGCAAAAACTTTCATTCATTTGCGTATGTTTTATTTTGTGAATTTGGAAGCATCTTAAATCCATTAAATCGCTTACAAGCATTAGATATGGTAGAACGATTAAGGGTACGAAATTGTGGTTACATATCACTTTATCAGGTTAATTTAATTATTTCACTCTAATAAAATATCATCGTTAATTTTTTATTGTTTGTAGATAGATTTACTAATAGAATTATTAAAAATGATATCTTCTGATAATATAAGCAATTTTTATGATACTTTTATTTACATTTAATACCATTTATTCAAATATTTTCTTTTAAAACTGTGAAATTTTATTTTCTAATTTTTTCAAACACTGAAATTTTATCATTTTCTTCTATTCGTAATGAATGAATCATTCTTTTTGCAATAATATTCAATGAGCAATATAAATGATTGATTGATTGATTGATTGATAATTGATATTATTTTTGATAATTTCCTTTACTAATTGATTTTTTAAATGAAATATTTGAGGTGCAATGGTCATATGGACGTTTATCAAATCCTCATGAATTATCATCCAATTCACATCAATTATCAGTTTCAGATGGAAGATGGGAGAGAAATCCAATGTTACGCGGTTTTTCCCAAGAGGTTTGTTGTTTTTGTTATTGTTATTGTTGTTGCTAAAATTAAATTTGATAACAAATAAAATAAGAATAGTAATGAGCAACCACATAAAATATATTTATATTATATTTTGCCAAGAAACAATCAATTATTTAAGCAAAATATCGATTTATTTTTTGAGTACCAATTTGATGTTTTGAATGTTCCATCGATGTTATTTCTTTCTGTAATGATTTAATCATTACTGATAGGAAATTAAAATACGATAAATTCTTTTAAAATATAACATCGGTTTTGCCATTATTTGTTATTAATAACGGATATTAACAATTTGATTATTATTATTATTTTCATACTGTATAAATAAGTATTATAATAAGTGAGAAAAAGCGAAATTCTAGTAAAAAATAAAAGATGAAATTTTAATTAATTTAAAATAATTCGATATGATGAAAAAAAAAAATTCGTTTTTATCAATTTTTCCATTAATCTCGTTCAAATTTGAATATTTTCAATCAATATTTCATACTTTTTTTTTTCGTTTTCTTTAATTTTCCTTATTGTTTACTAACAATTTGATTACTGTTCATTTTCAAATTTAATCTACGGATAATAATAATCAAAAAAATTAAGATAATTTGAATTATAAATTAATTAACTTTGTATTTTCTAAATTTTTTGTATTTTTTATTTTTTCAAAGTAATTATTTGTTGTTTACTCAAAAAAAATTTTAGGTTGAACCAACGACCAATATATCGCAACCTGCTAATAATCATAAATATAACGGTCATTCGACAGCGACACAAAATGACACACATTCATTGTTTCATAGTTATCATCATTTCAATGATTTTGGATAATATCAAAAAATGAAAAAAGAAGAAAATAGTAAAAATGATATAATAATTATTTTGACATATTCGCTTTATGCCTTATTAGAAAGTATAATTAAGGCTTTTAGCAAAAATTTATTAAAAGAAGCGCAAATATTCATTGAGTAAAATGTGACATTATAGCTAACAATTATTTAAAAATCATTTTCCATAATTAAAAATTTTACAGTAATTGACGATTTGTTCTCGAAATTAAAATTTTCAGCTTTTTGCGTATTATTAGCATATATATAAAATATACGTGTTTATGTATATAGTCATTTTTTACTTTATACATTGGTTAATTAATTAATTAATTAATCACTAACTAATTTTATGTTTAACTAATTAAGTATTTAGGTCGTTGTTTTCTTTGCATTTAGTACATAATTATTATTATATAACTAAAGGAATAATAATACTTTTAATGCGATACACATATAAATATTCTTTATTTATGAAAAAATTTTTTGTCAAAATACAAAAATGGCAGTAAACGGAACAGTTGCAATAGGCAAAAGTAAAAGAAATTATTGTATAACCAACAAATAGTAAACATTTCTCAATGTAATTTGTTGACAGTTCGCAAAATGGTTTTTTACTTCAATAATTTAAATTTTTAAAAGAAAACTTACTTTATAATAAATCATAAAATAAAGAAACAAGAATTTAAGTTTAAAGTTGGTCTACATTTAAAACAAATAGCAATTTTGTCTCGAAGAAAAAATCAAAGCAATTTTGGGTTTGGGAATTTTGATAAAATTTAGAAATTTCCAACAAATATTAGTATAATGAACGAAATGAAATTGGAAATGATTTACCAATATTTTCATAAACTAAATTTTCTTTTCGTACTATTATTAATTTTGTTATTATTAAGAATTGAAATTGAACTGGTGCATATATTCAGATTTATCCGCTAACAGAATTAAAATGATTTATCATCAACAAATCTCGAATTTGAATGAAAAATTAAACTCCGAAAATGAAGTGGAAATTCCCAAAAATTTTACATTTTATACACTAATATTGCATAGATGATATTTACTACTACTTTTTTCTTCCTTTTTTTTTTATTTTGGAAAGAATATAAAAGTGAATTCCTAAAAAGAAAAAAATGCGAATGGTACTTACTTCTAGAAACATTTAAAAAAAATTTTTTTTTAAAAGTACAAATGTAATAGAGAAGAATTTTTAACTTTTGAAATTCGTAATTAATCATTTCAGTAAATTGTAAGTTTTGTACAAAAATCAATTCATATATATATAAAATTATGAAAAGAATGAAAAGCAGAAGAAATAACAATAATAAATGAAATAGAAAGAAAACAAACGGAATTTATTTAAAATAGAACTTAAGGAAAAATAATAATTTTTAACTTTGCATAAAATAATTTATTCTATTTATAGCGATGCTTCAATTATTCATTCTCTAATGTGTGCACATACCTTTCATATATTTTTCAACTGTCAATGAGTTATAACACTTATGAAAACAATTGTTGATCAGCAATACGGCTCGCGCTGAAATGTCAGTAGGATATGATATTGAAATTTTAAATTCAAAGAATTTTGGCACCAAAATCTTTGTAGAACAAAACATATAAGTTCATTTCAAACTAAAAGTAAAAGAGAGAAGAGCAGTGGATAATTCAAGAAAAAAAAGCTAAATCAAAAACACAAATTTAGTGAGGTACTCAATTTCTAACATTTTCTATTTCTTAAAGTTTTATTCGATTAATCAGCTTTGTTGAGATGAATATTCGTTGAGACAATTACGTGTGATCATTCTATATCGAATTGTGATGGTAATGTTTCGTTTCAATTTTCGGAACTTCTGGATTTATTATGCTAATTTTTTTCATAAAAGTAAAACTCTTTTATCATTTAATCATCTTTAATCAGTTGCTATGCTATTCATTATTGCTTCCATTTTTTCTTTATTTAAATTTTCAGGTGTTGGATGATAACTGGTATCGTTATTAAAATTATTGTTGAAATTCTGGATTCGCTGTTGTAACAAACATTTCATAAACAAAGACTTAATTACCTGAATTTGAGATAAGAAAAGAATCAAAGAGGAGAAACAGCCTTCTTCTATCTTTGTTGCTATCAGAAAGAAATTGGCGACACCTTTGATTGTAAATTCGTTCGCTATTTTTGTCGTTTCGTATCGATTTTGGTGGAATTCTACAGGTTAATATCCGGAAAATTCTGCATTATTATTCATTCGGAAAGAGCGACTGTAAGCGATAAATAATGGTTTGTTGAATTTCTCTGAAAGGTTGCACGGATCGGCGGTAAAAGGATGGCGGTGATTTTTCATTGGTATAATTCGGACATATTTTTTTGAATTATTGCCTACTTTTGGGTTCTTAATTTTTCTTTCTTCTGTTATACAGTATTTCTGCCAGTTATTTTGTGTTTTTTTATAGTTTTTTCAAAAATCTTCACTGATCATTTCAACTTTGCGATGTGAATTTCATTTAATTTCGTTTAATTCTCGCTCTACTTTCTTGATTTAACTCATTGCTCTTCTCGACTTTACTTCTCCTTTGAAATTAATTTGTATGTTTTGGTGCTAAAAGTTTTTGAATTTAGAATTTCAATATCTTATTGGTGTTTCATCTCGCCTTTTTAATTCCGAGCACAAATCGTATTTTGCTGATCAAAAATTGTTTTCATATAAAAACAACATCCACTAGTATTACTCATTCCCAGTTCTTATCATTGATAGTTGAAAAATATATGAAAGATATAAGAGTTTTGTACGTATATCTTAGAGAAAATAATTGAAGCATTGCTGTAAAATGAAATTATTTTATGCTATTTTAAGTTCAATTTTAAAAAAAATTTAGTTTGTTTAACTTTTTATTCCATTTATTATTGTCTTTCTTTTTTACCTTTAATTCTTTTCATAATTTTATATATGTATGAATTGGTATTTTGTATTAAAGTTCACAATAAAACGATTAATTTCTTTTATATTTTTGATGTTGCACAAAACTTAATAAAAGTAATAACATAAATATATAAGAAAGCATAAAGGTAATAAATTAAATTGATAAACAAAGTATTAAATTGATAAATAAACATTGTAGATATTTTAAGTTAAATTTCTACAAGAACGGAATAAAATGAAAATATTTATCAAACTCTGATTTACTTGTTGATAACTTGTTAAAATCTATTAGTAAAAAAAGATATGCATTACTTATTATATTAAAAATTGCTTCCAATTTTATTTCTAAGTTACAACCAAGCTTATTCTTTCAATGTCAAAGTATTATAAAGTTCTTCTAGTCTAGCATTTACTCTTAGAAGCAATTCACATAACATTAGAAACTATAAAATGATAAAGTTCATTCGAGAGGAACAACCTTCATCTCAGGTATTAACGGTAGCAAACTTCAATTTGATTTATCTCAGTACTCTTTCTATATTCAATCAATTCAACGACTACCTTCAGTCAATCCAACTAAATTTTTCCTACGATCATTAATTACCTGTAATATGATTTGATATCACTTTGCTATGTGACTGAAAAAGATGGTAAAACATAAAATGAAGTGCGAACTACCTGTTGAAATTTAGAAAGAAAAAAATGAAATAAAATAAAACTAAGAAATGGAAAGGGAAAATGAAGAATTGTTGCGAAGAAGAGTGAGTGAGAAGGGAGGAATAAAAAAAGTATTTTTTTTTTAATTTTTGATTTTTATTTATTATTTTTAAATATACGTGCAAAAGTATAAATTAAACAAAATTAAAATTGCAAGAATTACGTTAATTTAAAACCAACAAATAAATGAAATAATTTGCATTAAAATGAAATGAGTGAAATAATTGACGCTGAAAAATTATTCGTTGGGATTAATTTGGAAATTAATTCACTTTATTAAAAAATAAATTATAAGTTTTTTCTATTCTTATATGATAGCAAATTATATAATCAATTATTTGTGAAATTTTTATCATTTATCAACAATTAAAACAAATAATTTTTATATGAACAAGTATTATCTCGAAAAGAGAACTTTTTCTTTCTTTATTTTAATGATTTTTAATTAATTAATTAATTAATTAATGGATTATTATTATGAACTTATGTGTCTCATTGTTATCATATTCATTGCATCCATACTATTAGGGTTTTTTTTTCAATTCTGCAACATATTTTTTTTAGGGTTGTTTAGAATTAGAAATAAGTCATTTCAATTAAGTTAAAAAATTCAAATCAAATTTTAAAATAGCTAACGTTGAAGTTATGCAAAATAAAATTAATTACTTAATCAGATACCTTAAATTTACTAAATGTTGTAAGAAAGAATTCATTCAGTATTAATTAATAACTTTATGGCTCATCAATTTAAAATATAAATTTATCATCGTAATTCCAACCACTTGGATTATTTTAGAATAAAAAACTTTTAAAAATGTTAGCTTTTTTACAAATAAAAAAAAAGGTGTAAGAACAGCTAAAAGACAGCCAAGTTTATTATTAATTAACAAGATTTAAAATGAGAAATGCTAATAATCAGCTGATAAATCATCAAATATTTATTTTAGTTTAAACTTTTAGAATTTTCGAGCAAATAGCTTTTTTATTTCACTTTTTTATTTTTTGAATATATATCACTTCAACAATTAAAATTTAATAGCTTTAAACTTTTCGACTTATTTACCACTCAGAAATAAGCGTTAACATTACAAATAATTATCATAAAATATGTTTTTTTTTAATTTGAATATTGTAAATTAACTGTTAATTAGTTGCAAAAAAATTTATAATTAATTAGTCTATGAATAATATTAATTAACAAATATTGACATTACCGATTTGAAGAAACTTTGTGTAACTCTTATCAATGACATTTCCTTTAGCAATTTATCAGTGCTTTCAAAAGTGTGAAATCAACCAATTGATAATATCGGTTTAAAAATTTCTCTGATCAATCTTTTCTGAACATATCGATTAAATTATAAAAAGA